TATATATATCTTTTTTAATAAAAAAAAAATAGAGACCAGATTTCACTATGGTTGCTCGAGTTGGTTTTGGAACATTCCTTGCCTTTCAATACCATCCTCCCTATCTTCAGTCCTCATATAAGTCTTGGGATTACAGTGCGTGAGCCACTGCACCTGGACTTCTAACAGTGACGTCAGCTATCTGTCATTTCTGTCTATCATTTATTATCTATCCATCCATCATCTCCTACGATCATCTCCTCTATTATTCTATCCATTCCAATTCTCATCCTGATCATTATCCATCATTCATTCTACCATTATTTTCCACCATCCATCCATTTCTCATCCATGATCAACTACTCCATCCATTTCACTATCTTGGCCTCTTCCATTCTGTTCATCCTATCCCATCATCTTCATCCATCCATATCTGCCATCTTCTACCATCCTGTTCACCCATCCATCTTCATCCAGCGTCCTAATTCATTCAAATTCCCCTTATAAACAAATTTTCTGCCCATCATCTACCATTCTGTTCACCATCTCCATTTCTACCATGGACTCCACCCATCCATCCACTATCTAAACTCATCTACCATCTGTTCATTCTATCTCCATCTCATTCCATGCCATCCATCCACCCTTCATTGCCCACATCTACATTCCTGTCACATCCATCCATCTCATCCCATTGACCTCCACATCAATCTGCCATCATCTACATTGTTTCACCCCATTGCCCTCCATTCACATGGCATCCATCCACCATCATCTGCCCATCATCTCCATGTTCCAACCATCCATCATCTCATTATGATCCATCCATCGGTCATCTATCTGGCCATATTACCCCATCTATTCACCCATCCATCCTTCTCATCAATGTCACCATCATCCATCTTATCTTACATCATTACCATCTGTATCTATCATCCATTCTCATCCCATGGCATCCAACTATCCATTCGATCTATCTGCCCTCATTACCTCTTGTTCCACCCATCCAACCATCCTCATCCTGATCATCCACGCATATGGCCCATCATTCCATTGTCACCATCCTCATCTCATCCATGCATCATCACCATTCATTGCCATCCATTACCATCTGTTCACCATCCTCCTTCATTCCATGCGAATCATCCATATCTTGCTCATCATCTTTACCATCTGTTCACCACAATTCCATCCGATCATCTGCCCTCATTACCCATTTATTCACCCATCCATCCTCTTCATCATGCATCCATCCCCTTCACTGCATCATCTACCTCTATCACCAATCCCATCCGTTCTTTTTTCATTCCATGCCTCCATCATCCATTCATCTATCTGGCCATCTCTACATATTCCATCCTCCATCTCATCTATTGCATCCATCCTCGGGTTCATCTATTCTGGCCCTCATCTACATTATTTCACCACCTCCCATCTCATACATGGCAATCCATCTTCCACCATCCTACCACCCAATCATTTACCATCTATTACCTCCATCCACCTCATTCGATTCTATCCAATTCATCTACCAGTTTTTTCACATCCATCCATTACCTAACCTACCTTTACCATCTGTTCACCCATCCATCTACTCCATTCATTTCTACCTAACCTATCTTACCATGTAATTCACCCATCCATATATCTCAATTCCATGGGCAATCTATCCATCCATCAGCCTAGCATTATTTATTCATCCTCTATCTTCTCTCCATGTATCAACTATTCCATCCATCCATCTTACCCTACCTACCACAATCGTTCATTCTGTTCCTCATCCATCCAGAGAACTGGAACGGGGCCCACGGGGGAGAGCAGGATCTGTGTTTTTCTTTTTATCTTTCTTGAGTATGCGTTCAGTCCTCGCCTCCATTCTTTCGAGTGTCCCCCCAGGCTGGAATACTTAGGTGGCGCAGATCTCGCGCCTCACTGCGAGCTTCGCTCCTTCCCGGGTTCATGCCATTCTCCTGGAGGTTGCAGTGAGCCGAGATCACACCACCGTACTCCAGCCTGGGCGAAAGAGCGAGAGTCTCAAAAAAAAAAAATAACCAAAAAGTTTTCTGTGGAGATGGGAGTCTCTCTCTGTCACCCAGGGTGAAGGGCAATGGTGTCATTATAGTTCACTGCAGCCTTGACCGCCTGAGCTCAAGCAATCTTCCCTCCTCAGCCTCCCCAGTACGTGGGAGTACAGGCATATATTACCATGCCCTGCTAGTTTTTAAAAATTTTGTAGAGATGGGATCTTGCTATGTTGCCCAGGCTACTCCCAAACTCCTGGGCTCAAGCGATCCTCCTGCCTTGGCCTCCCCAGATGCTGGGGTTAAAAGACGCTCGAGCCACTACACCTGGCCTCTGTCTCTCTTTCTCTCCCTCTTCCTCTCTGTCTCCTCCTCTCTGTGACTTTTTATGTATCTCATCTATCATCAATCTGTTTCTCCTCTCTCCTCTTTTCTCCCTTCCTTCCTTATCTGTCTTCTGTCTCTTCCTCCCTCTCCTCACCCTGCCTCTCTTTTTATACTTCTATCATCATCCTTTAAAAAAAAAAAAAAAATCCTTTTTAAAAAATAAAATAAAAGAGAGACCAGATCTCACTATGTTGCTCGAGTTGGTTTGAAATTCCTGGGCTCAAACCATCCTCCCACCTCAGCCTCCCAAAGTGCTGGGATTACAGGCGTGAGCCACTGCACATGGACTTCTAACAGTGATCTGTCAGCTATCTGTCATCTGTCTATCATTTATTATCTATCCATCCATCCATTCATCTACCTACCGATCATCTACCATCTATTCATCTATCCATCCATCTCATCCATGCATCCATCTATCTATCCATTCATCTATCTGCCCATCATCTACCATCTGTTCATCTATCCATCCATCTCATCCATGCATCCATCTATCCATCCATTCATCTACCTACCCATCATCTACCATCTGTTCATATATCCATCCATCTCATCCATGCATCCAACTATCCATCCATTCATCTACCTACCCATCATCTACCATCTGTTCATCTATCCATCCATCTCATCCATGCATCCAACTATCCATCCATCCATCTACCTACCCATCATCTACCATCTGTTCATCTATCCATCCATCTCATCCATGCATCCATCCATCCATCTGCCCATCTACCATCTGTTCATCTATCCATCCATCTCATCCATGCATCCAACTATCCATCCATTCATCTATCTGCCCATTATCTACCATCTGTTCACCCACCCATCCATCTCATCCATCCATCCGCCCATCATCTACCATCTATTCACCCATCCATCCATCTCATCCATGCATCCAACTATCCGTTCATCTATCTGCCCATCATCTACCATCTATTCACCCATCCATCCATCTCATCCATGTATTCATCTATCCATCCATCTACCTACCTACCCATCATCTACTATCTATTCACCCATCCATCTCATCCATGCAACCATCTATCCATCCATCCATCTACCTACCCATCATCTACCATCTATTCACCCATCCATTCTTCTCATTCACGCCTCTACCTATCCATCCACCTGCCATCTACCATCTGTTCACCCATCCATACATCTCATCCATGCATTCATCTATCCATCCATCCGTTCACCCATCCATCCATCTCATGCATGCATCAATCTATCAATTCATCTACCTACTTATCCATCATCTACCATCTATTTACCCATCCATCCATCTCATCCATCTATCCATCCATCTACCATCTATTCACCCATCCATCCATCTCATGCATGCATCAATCTATCAATTCATCTACCTACTTATCCATCATCTACCATCTATTTACCCATCCATCCATCTCATCCATGCAACCATCTATCCATCCATCCATCTACCTACCCATCATCTACCATCTATTCACCCATCCATCCATCCATCTCATACATGCATCCATCTATCCATCAATTCATCTACCTACCTGTCCATCATCTACCATCTATTCACCCATCCATTCTTCTCATTCACGCCTCTACCTATCCATCCACCTGCCATCTACCATCTGTTCACCCATCCATACATCTATCCATCCATCCGTTCACCCATCCATCCATCTCATGCATGCATCAATCTATCAATTCATCTACCTACTTATCCATCATCTACCATCTATTTACCCATCCATCCATCTCATCCATCTATCCATCCATCTACCATCTATTCACCCATCCATCCATCTCATACATGCATCCATCTATCCATCCATCTACTCACCCATCATCTACCATCTATTCACCCATCCATCCACCTCATCCATCTATCCATTCATCTACCATTTGTTCACCCATCCATCCATCTACCCTACCTACCCATCATCTACCATCTGTTCACCCATCCATCCATTCATCTACCTACCTACCCATCATCTACCATGTATTCACCCATCCATATATCTCATCCATGCATCTGTCTATCCATGCATCAGCCTAGCCATCATTTATTCATCCATCTATCCTTCTCATCCATGTATCCAACTATCCATCCATCCATCCATCTACCCTACCTACCCATCATCTACCATCTGTTCATCCATCCATCCAGGAGAACCGGAACGGGCCCAGATGATGCATCCATCTATCCACCCATCTTTCGATCTAATCTCCTTCTCCCTGTCCATCCGCCCTGCATCGTCTCTGTCTCACTCCCCTCCCCTCCCTGTGTAAGGGTTCTCGGCAGCCTCTGCTCACAGCTCTGAGCTCCCGTTGCCTGCTGTGTCCCCCTGAAGGATCCCCGCCTGGCTGGCCAGGACTCCAGCTCTCTGCTCTCCCCCCACAGGGGCCGGCCTGCTGCTGGTGGAGACACTCCTGGATGAGAAGAGGGAGGTGCAGGGTGGCCTGATACAGTCGCTGAACATGCTGGTGCAGACTGAGGGCAGGGAGCGGAGCAGAGGCGAGTACCAGTGCTTGCTGGAGCTGCACGGCTTCCACCAGGTGCAGGTGGTGCACTTGGAGGGTGTCCTGGATGCCATGTTGGCCACCAGAGTGGCCCCCTGAAGCCCAGGCAGCGTGTTCATTATAGGGACGTCCTCCCCCAGGCTGCAGGTGGACCACCTGGTCCCCAAGTCCATAGGACAGTCACATAGGAGCGTGCAGTCGTGGCTGAATAAAGAAAGCAAAAGTCTGTCCATGGCTCCTCTGTGAGAGTTCTTGATGAGGGAAGAGGCTGCATTTGGGGAGAAGGGGACAGAGGGTGCATTTGGGGAGTGGGGACGGAGGCTGCATTTGGAGAGGAGGGGAAGGAGGCTGCATTCGGGGAGGAGGGGAAAGAGGCTGCATTTGGGGAGGAGGGAATGGAGGCTGCATTTGGGGAGGAGGGGATGGAGGCTGCATTTGGGAAGGAGGGAGATGGAGGCTGCATTTGGGGAGGAGGGGAAGGAGGCTGCATTCGGGGAGGAGGGGAAGGAGGCTGCATTCGGGGAGGAGGGGAAGGAGGCTGCATTTGGGGAGGAGGGGATGGAGGCTACATTTGGGGAGGGGGAGGAGATGGAGGCTGCATGGGGAGGAGGGGAAGGAGGCTGCATTTGGGGAGGAGGGGAAGGAGGCTGCATTCGGGGAGGGGGGAAAGGAGGCTGCATTCGCGGAGGAGGGAGATGGAGGCTGCATTCGGGGAGGAGGGGACGGAGGCTGCACTGGGGGAGGAAAGGAAGGAGGTTGCGTTTTTGGAGGAGATAGAGGCTGCATTCAGGGAGGAGGGGACGGAGGGACAGCAGGGAGGACCGTTCAGCCCGGCGGACGTCCTGGGAGCCAGCAGCCTTCCAGAGTAGCTGGTGGGGACTCCCGGGGAGGGTGGTGGGGACAGGGCTTTCTCACGGCTGCTACGAGGGTGCCGTCCACCAGGCAGGGCCTTGGTCCTTCTCCGCACCCCAGCCTGCATCTTCCCATCTTCCCCACGATTTCCAGTGTGTCTCGTCTGTAGGAACACCGTCGCTGCCGCTCACCCCCGGACGCCCACAGGCCACGGAGTGGCAGCTCTCCGGGAAGCTTCCGTCTCTCCTGTCTTGGTGTAGACACTGTCACGAGCGGGACCTCCCCAGCCCCTCCTGCAGGGCTGAAATGCGTCTGTAAAACACTCCCTCCCCGAGTCCAGGCAGGCCAGAGTCACACCTGCCCTGCGAGGCCCTCCTGGGCACACAGTCACTGCGGCTGTAGGGAGCCCGGCGAATCCACATTTCCCCGGTGCTCCACTCCCAGTTCCTGCTGCCGGGCTGTGTCCCGACCCTCAGACCTCAGTTGGCCCTCTGGTGCCCACACAGCCCCCTTTCCTCCCTGGCCCCTCCGGGAACAGCTGGGCCAACCTGGGGCTGGGCTGGGGCGGAGCCCCTCAAACCACAGCCTTGACCTCGAGGAGCACCGACGTTCAGGCAGGATCTGAAACGCGGGGAGAACCGGAGCAGGCCCAGGTGATGTTTTTAGGGCAGACACACCCAGCTTTCCCGTTCCCGGGCTGGGTGTCCATCTGCGTTATATTTCAGCTGTTTTCCTTTTTTTTTGAGACGATCTGGCCTCTGTCGCCCAGGCTGGAGCCAGTGGCCAGTCTCAGCTCTACTGCAAGCTCCGCCTCCCGGTTCCCGCCATTCTCCGCCCTCAGTCTCCGAGTAGCTGGACTACAGGCGCCCTGCCACCACGCGCCGGACTATTTTTATTGTATTTTTTAAGTAGTAGACGGGGTTTCCACCGTGTTTAGGGCCAGGATTGGGTCTCGATCTCCTGACCTCGTCGACTCTACCCGTCTCGGCCTCTCAGAGTGCGTGGGATTACAGGCGTGAGCACCGCGCCCGGCCTTTTTTTTTTTTTTTTGAGACAGAGTCTCACTCTGTCGCCCAGGCTGGAGTGCAGTGTGCGATCTTGGCTCAGTGCAAACTCCGCCTCCCAGGTTCAAGCTTCTCCTGCCTCAGCCTCCCCAGTAGCTGATTACAGGCGCCGCCAGCCGCACCCAGCTAATTTTTTTGTATTTTCAGTAAGAGACAGGGTTTCACCATGTTGGGCCAGGCTGGTCTCAAGCCTCTGACCTCAGGCCTCTCAAGTGCTGGGATTGACAGGCGTGAACCCCTGCGCCCAGCCCGTCTTTTTATTCACTGGAGTAACTGTGCAAAAGCCGCACCTCTGGACTCTAAGAGGGTCTCTGTGTGGCATGCATAGAACGTCGCGAAGACTGGCGATGATTTAAAAACCAGTGGCCGGGCACGGTAGTCCAAGCCTGTAATCCCAGCATTGGGCCCGAGACGGGCGGATCCAGGTCAGGAAGTCGAGACCATCTTGGCTAACCCGGTGAACCCCGTCTTACTAAAAAAAATACAAAACCTAGCCGGCGAGGTGGGGCGCCTGTATCTCCCAGCTACTCCGGAGGCTGAGGCGGGAGAATGGGCGGAACCCGGGGAGCGGAGCTTGCAGTGAGCTGAGATCGGCCACTGCACTGCAGCCCTGGGAGACAGAAGCGAGCC